AATGTTAAAGACAGGGAGTTGGCATTTCCACTCTCCCCATCCATTTCACTTCTATCGGGTGTCCTGGTGGACCCTCTCGTACTCAGCATATACTTTTTCGTATAATAATGGAATGAAAGTTAAGAGAAAACTAAAGGAAAGATCTCACCCGATGTTGCAAAGGAATCCATGACATCACGATGATTTCGAAGAGCTCCCACAGATATGTTGTCGCTACTTCTTCAACCGGTGTTAAAAACAGCTCTCTCGCCGTTCCTTCGTCACACAGCAGTGGGAACCCCCCGCAAACACTAAACACACTCTAGCTGCACCGAATATTTCACCAATCACCCGACACAACGACTTCAGTTCACCAGTACACAGTCTGGAAGACGTAGCACCAGTCCCTCACCAACGTCGAAATCAGAACTGCATGATGTTAATGGAAATTAAGTCCCAAACACAATGTAGACGGAAGCGGAACGGCACCGGCAAGCTTTGACAGTTGTCACAAATGACGCCAAGATGTCTAACCGAAGTCAATTTGGTTTTAACTAGTTTCCCTCTTGGGAAATTCCTTGAAACTTCAATAATATGATCACTCTTTAAACATTGTTTAGTTCAAAAAATATTTCCAAAACCTAACAATGATTGGCATCAATTTTAGCATCAAGAATTGTCTTATTCGACGTTAGAGGGTGTCCACTTTTTTCGTGGACAGATCTACGTGCCAACAACAGAAAGGAGCACAACAGCTTTTGTGAACAAAACATTGGTAACCCTTCCCGTATAAACGCGAATCATTACTTTACCTTACCAAAAATGGTTAAAAATTGTTTATAACCCATATGTGAACTTTAACTGAAATGCTGTTAATTTGCGTTTGGTTGACGAAATTTTGAAACATAACGTTGATAGTACCTTTTCAATTGTTAGTCTACAATATATTGAATAAGGGGCTGTTTTTTTACCTACGTAGACAGTTTTTTAGGATTATTTCATAACAATTTCCGTTAAAGTTAAAGACAATTCTCCATACACAATTTTTAAAATTTGTATGGGCCGTGGATAATTACCATAATGGATTTGAAATCCAAAATTTCATCAAAAATAAGTGCGATTACATTAGCAATAATCACCATCTTTGCGCCCCTCGGTGGAACTTTGTATGGGAACGACCGGTCCATTTGTTAGGTGAGTGTCAAACGGTGAATATTTTACTTTAAATATTGATTTAAAAATCTAGATGAAAGTCTATGGGTTCGAAAAAAAATCGTTGTGCTTAGAAAACTAAGCTCTTTCAGATGAGGTATAAAAATCATTTTTTTTTTTTCACAAAATTATAGAACCCAATTTTCAAATATATTTACAATTCATGCACCCCTCGATGACAGATCACGTAGATTGCTGATGATCTTCGGGATTGATTGCAACTACCGGACTTCGCCACCCTTGGTGGGATCCATTATACCGTGATTTGGCCATACGATTGAGATTTATTGCTGCCCCGTCACACAGACCGGTTCGCGGCAGACCTGCACTTCTCTACACTGGACACGAGTAGACAGAGTGTGTGGCCGCTGAAGTGAGATATAAAAACGAAAAACTGGACCTAACCTAATCCAGCGCTGAGCGATCCAGTTCGCCATACTGGATGCATGCAAAATTGAATGGGGACATTATCGAATTAAGAGCGCACTTGATTCAAGTGGAATTTGCTTGGAAGATTGGCGCGTTTTCTTGGATTGAAATGATTTTCTCTTCCTTGTATCTGCAGCAGGGGTTGAAACTGTTGACGTTTTTTACGACACTCATGTCGTTTTCATGGGCGACAGTCTGTTTTTATTCGTACTCTCATGCTCTACGTCGTCTCTCGTACACAACACAATCGGTAGAACAACATTCGAGCAAAAAGAAAATTTTCAAATAACTATCATATGACATGTGTGATTTCGTTCTAATTCCTCAATTTGGTGTAAATTAAACCATTTCTGATCAGAAGTGTTATTACTAGGACATCGTTGCTTGCTATTTTCAGAATTCACACAAGCACAACATCAGCAGTTCTTATTACATACATTCGTGACGGTCTTTGGCAACAGTGTCGTATGACAGAGAGCCTGTCATAAGACATTTTATTTTGCTACTGTAATTTGATAGCTTGTTTTGCAAGTGTCGGAAGCAAAGACAGTCAATTACTCATGTTTTGTTGTTTTTGACATCTTCCACATCCAGAGGGCCAGTCACTTTCGAATGTATGGGAATGGTAGGAAACCATTTGGAAATGCATGAAAATTTCCAGTTTTTATTCATTATCGTCTTTATGGGCAGTTTTAGATGCACAGAAATTGCACGAGTACATTACTAAGGTGATAAGGTAAACACTCGTTTATTTGTTTCCTTCTGTGAAAGCATGTTTAGTCACAAATCGTAAATTTTCTGATATTCTCCATACTGCAAAAATGATTTTCCTATCACTGAAGGGGCGACATCTCTCGGATCTTCAGTATAGCTACTACTCAAATCATATAATTAATTATCACAGAAAATATGTCTACTACGATGACCACTTACAAGACTAATCTGCAGTGAGAATCATAACCTCGGTTTTCCCTAATGCTGAGTGTCAATTTTTTTACTAACATCTGTAGACAATCAAAAAGTAGCCTTTCAATAAAAGTCACCAATTTCAACGAATAGGGGGAAGAGTCTCGTGCACAATGTTAATTAGACGAATTTTCATTCTGGAGAAATTTGCGAAAAAAGCTCCGTAAAAATTGTGTTTCCATTTGATTGACTTTTCCCGACTTTGCATATCATCGGTACAGTTGAAAACCGAAATAACCCACTAGCGACAATTGATTTTACTCTATTTCTGTACGGTAAACATAGTGTCAGAAGTAGTGCGTTGTAATCGCACAATAATGCGCTATACAGCCCACTACTTCCGACACAGAACGAGAGTAAAATCGATTGGCGCTAGTGGGTTATTCCTTTTTTCAACTGTACCGATAATACCATCTGGGAACTGATAGCCCAGTTATAACAACTCATACATGCGCACATTTTGAATGCAGTTGCCTGTAAACAAAACTGTTTACATAAATCTCAAATCAATATTCCTATTCTGCGCATCAAAACTTGATCTTTGCGTGCTTGCTGTCTTCTTTTCTGTGTGTTTATTTGCACTTACAAATATATTAATAACGATTTTGTTTTATTCAGTTCCAACCTGGAAGATTGAGTCTGATTGTTTTCTGACAAACGTCAGTTTGATCGTTTGTTTATAAAAACCTACCTCAGGTCGAGGGTCACACTGACAAAAATTTCGGTTCCGCACTTGGTTGGAACCGATGGTTCAAATCCCTATAATAATAAAAACGTCGTTAAAACTGTTTGTCATTCAAGCAAGCTACTCTCCTTTTGGAACTTTTCCTTTTTGGATGGCATGCCATGTGACGTTCGTGATTCTCTTGTTGACTGTCAATGTCGTCTGAATAAAGTTGCATCATTTCTATTGTGTTTGTTCTATAAAGTTTACCTTCTCCGCCATATTTATAAACTCAGTATAACGACTCAAGTTTCGCAAAACTCCTAACTGTGATTTGTCACGTAATGTTGTTTACGACAACAAATTATGGGGACTGTAACAACCGCGCTGCGAAAGCATCAGAAAATACTCACGCCAGATTGGCATTGGATTTAAATTGTTCACGTGTGTGACATCTAACGTTCACCAGAACCCGGCCTCGATCGCCGTCTATCCATCGCCGCCATGCGCCATTATCGTTGTTAAACCTAACAAGCTTGAGGCGGTTTGTTTACAAACAGTCACTTCTGCTTCACGTGTTCATGCTCTTAAACGACCGAATGATTTGTAGTTCCACACTCTACCTGTGACGCTGTGACACTCACACACACAATACATTGATAAGGTTCGTTACCTGCTTAGTCTGCCTTCTTAATCCAGCTTGATTATTTTTTCGGGGGCACTACCGCCGTCGTCTGATGCAATGCCACGTGAACGATGATGAAACAATAAACAATCAGGCTCGATTTGATGGACCCGGCCGGCTCGGCCCATTGATAAGAGCCCGTCATTCCGCACCACCGCCGTCTGTCGTCTCCAGTTCAACGAGCTGATCAGCTGATGCCGGAATTACCGACAGGGGCTATCGCTTCGAAGAAGCGAGAACACACCCCTTTCGACGAGTCTGCTTGCTGTTACCAGGAGCCACATTATGTAACCAAGACGAAACGACTTTTCCATGCAAGCATTCATACAAAAAAATGCCTCGTTTCGACTTCCCAAATGACAAATGGGGCCCCTGGTCTCGTCAGGAAGAAAACCTTAAGTTTTATAGTCCTTCTGTACACCATTTTTAATTTAAAGGTGGACTGATTCCGCTGCTGAGCATGTTCCATCTCTGGTCAGCTCCATTTTAATCAGTAGGCCACGCTCAGCTAGCATGTCTTCCCTCTCGTAAAGAACGTGGCATTTGTATGGAGATTCCGTCGCGCAAGGACGACCTTGTTTTTCATCGTTTCCGTCGCCGTCGGTCACCACCATGCTGTCGTCGAATGTGTACGAGAACGATGAGCACCCATTTTTCTTAAGCATGCCATTTTCATGACGCCATTTTGGTTGTCAACGAATGACAACGAACCAGTAGACAAGACAACGGCCCATGCAAGCAAGCCATGGATTTAAAACAAAGTGGGATAATCCACTTTTCAGGAAACTACGCAAAATGCTGCTGGTCGGTTGTCCTGGTTTCCTTGAGTCGCAACCATTCGAATGCGTTGTGGAGTTTCGCTTGACGAACGTCGACGGCGACGCAATGAAGCACGTCTTTAGGCAGTAAAATATGCTCCGATATTGATTGGTGATATTTATTACCCCGATGCCATTGTGTTGAGAAACGTAAACAACTGTTAGTGGAGTAGATTATTGGCCTAGCGTGAATCGATTGATGTACTTGACTAACGAATGCCTTTTCTTGTTCTTTGTTTCATTGCAGTCCCATCGAAAATGTCGGTTGCCAGTGTACAAGCCCCCCATCTGGCCGAACTGTGTTCGTCGTTAAGGTAAGTCTCTCGCTTTGACGAGTCTTGAATGGAACTTTTACGTCAATTCTGCGTGGCGTGTGAAGGGAGGTGACTTGGCACCTCGGGCGAGGCGATTCTCCATTTGATTTGCACCGAGACTCACCTCACCCGAGGTGACAATTCAAGCTGAACATTGCATTAGGTTCTAAGTAACATTGACATATTCTCTTGGCATTCATAAAGAAGCTATTATTTATCGAGAGAATCGATCAATGTTACTTAGGACGTAATTCATTGTTCAGCTTGAATTGTCACTTCACCATCACTTCACTGTCACCTCATCTCACACGCCGTGAAGAATAAGCCTATATGTATTGCATCTCCCGAATCTGACTCCCCGATCGTATTGCTATCTATTTAAGTAATGTGACCAAAATGCTGTACATCTGAATTCTGCGACTGAACTAGAAACTAGATTACGAAACGGCAAATATAGAGCTAGCAAATTCCTATACAACAATATATACAGCTGTACAGAACGGAAGATAACGGGAAAGCGATGAGTGACCTAGTGAGTTTTATTTTATTGCGTTCGGAATTCCTTAATACAAACAACTTACGATGAACTAGGCATAGGGTAAGTGTGCCAGCTATGGCAATAGTGCTCCAGTTTTTGGCCCTAGTTTTGGCTCCAGCTCAAATTTTTATCCAGCCTTTTTTTTATTAAATTTAATGAAGAATGAATAAAATTTAAGATAGCACTAATTAGGAAACCACTAGAGCCAAACGCTAGCACTATCACCCTAAAGGTGTATGTGTGTAACGACGAAATTGAAAACTCGATCAAGGTCATCGGCCGGCGGCAACGTCCTTTAGCTTATGTACGTCGATGTGAACTGTCGGATAGCAGTTGATGAAACGATTTATAGAAGCAACCGATTGTGCAGTGAAGACGGAATGGTCCATTCGGGTTATTTAAGGAATGTTAATGCCATGGGGTTTGCTAAATATAAACACAAACTCCTGTGTGGGAAAGCAATGTCGGAGGTTTTTTGGTCCAAGCGTGAATCATGCATTGATGGGATGCGGTTTATGGAAATTCTCGAGTGAATGAACCCGCTTGTATATAGGGGTTTTGATCTTATTTCCATCCTACTTACTCATGCTTTATCTCTCTTTTTCGAATGGATGTCAACAAAAAAAAAATGAAATTATTCTACTTTAGATGAGTTCTAAATTTATTTACCGTTTCATGGGTTCCGTTAGATTTAGTAAAGATTCACAATTTTTTTCCTTGATTTGTTTTCCGAGCTGAGCACCAATGCTACCGACGCCAGGGAGGCAGCTCTTACCCATGAACCCTACCTATCGACATATCAACTTATGAACCGGGGACCAACGGCTTTACTTCCCTTCCGAAGGAAGGCGTGATCAGAGATGTTATGCCTCAGAACATCCCGGCGGCGCCGACTGGGATTGAACCCTGGCCTGCTGGGGTGAGAGGTAATCACGCTTACCACTACACCACCGGTACCATTGATTTATTGATTCTATTTCGGGGAATTTTCTAAGTCTAGTGGTTGTTGATGTAATAATCTAATCTTGCTTTGTTTAGCTCTGCACTGTTACAAAGTCAACGTGTTCAGTTTCTGCTGACGCAGGGTGACAGGGCATTAATTGTTCCATGAATATACAAGTGCTTGAGATTAGGAAGAGATAAGTACTATCCGTATCAATGGAGTTCGACATCACAAGACCTTCGCACTATTTCGCTTTACATGAGAACTTTCATACCTGATAACACTACCTATTTTCGTTGAAGAGACATTATTTGGATAATCTAACTGTCCTCTTTCACGGTCCCTTACATCTAATGAATACCCCCCGTATGCAAGGTATGGTTGTGGTTATGCTGCCCCTCAGTAGAGTTGACGTTTACCGTTTTTTTATCAAAAAAATCACACCAAAAATCAGTGACGTCCCATTGTTTAATTACTCGATTAACAACTAATCGATTATTTTTGGTTCGTTGTGCTGTCATTTTTCCACCAATGAGAGTGCAGACCAGGTTTGAAACGATGAGTGATGATCGTCTGGAGAAGTTAATTCTTACTTGGCATCCCTAATAAAAATAACCATAAAATAGAGCTTAACGACGTGTTTGGGGTATCATACAAACCATTTGTGGGATAGTTTACCCATCCGGGGTACAGTTCGTTTATGGTATTTGATTATTAGGGATGATATAACCGATTACAAATATTTTACTTTTCGTTTCGTTAATCGATTAATCGGTTATTCGAATGAAAATCGGACATCACTATATGAATAGAAAACGCCATTTCAAATATGAGGGCCGTTCATAAATAATGAGACAATTTAAAAGGGACCGGAGCTAATGATAAATTACGTTCCCACAGTAACTGAAATAAACACGAGTGCTGACCGGTCTAGAATAAAGCCCTACAGTAAAAGTATGGACGTCTGTCAAAAGTTGTTCCAATCGAACCGTCAAAATGCACCGCTTTGCTCGATTGGAACAGCTTTTTTTCAGTTTTGGGGTGACAGTCGTCCATACTTTTACTGTAGGGCTTTAGTCTAGAACCCTCCATCATGTACATTCCAAACATTGGTTTGCGACCGGAGCATCCCTCGTTCATGCAATTTTTCACTAGTTGCTTTTCCCTCGTTCTGTCAACACGATAGCAGTGTTGAATAGCGATGTCGGTTCTGCGAAATTTTCCATAGCCGGCGCCGGTGGTGTAGTGGTAAGCGTAACTGCTTCTCACCCCAATTCAAGCTGAACATTGCATTAGGTCCTATGTAACATTGACAGATTCTCTTTGTCGACTTTCTTTTTGCATCTGCATGGCCATGTAAAGACATTTTCAGGTATTTTCAGTGCGCTGATCGTTAAAAGAAGTTGCTCTGGGTTCAATTCCTGCCAAGGGATTTGGTCACGTGTTCCTTCGGAAGGGAAGTAAAGCCGTTGGCCTCGGCTCATGTGCGGGTGCGATATCCTACGCCAGGTGTGGTAGCTGCCTCCCTGCACATTCGATTGTCGTCAAAGGATGGCAATCGATGTCCTGCGGTGATTGGCACTAGATTGCGGAACAGAGACCGACGTTAAATAAAGGAATTAAGAAGGAGAAGAATAATGAGAAAAAAAATTCCGTTGATCTATAGAATTGATTGGATTTTGCAGAAATACGGATCCGTAGGAGATATTCACAGAATATCAATTTTTTAGGGATTTGTTTTGTTTGTATAGAGGGATTTATCTTTTGCTGGAAACAAGTTTTTCAACGTGGCAATGCGTCATTATTGAGTGCCGCCACTTTCACGAGTTAAATACCTCCTTAAATGTAATTCCTTTTCTTCTTCTTTCCTTTATTTAAAGTCGGTTTCTGTTCCGCAATCTAGTGCCAATCACCGACGGACATCGATTGCCATCCATTGACCGCAATCGAATGTGCAGAAAGGCAGGTTCCACACCTGCGCAGGATATCGCACCCATTCAACACACATGGGCCGGGACCTAAATGTAATGCTAAGATACCGACAAACCGGCATGAATGACCATATAAATTACCATGAAATTTCTGATCAAAGCACAAAACTGATATCTGCCGCCGTGTTCGCGGAAAATATTTATCCTAGCCATGAACACGCGTACAAGATTTATGAGTTGGCTCATGTCTAATCTATTCCGGATAAGTTATTTTTATCCAGATAAAACGTTGCTACACGGAAACGAATACCATGGTAGAGCGTACCATATCAGACGGTTAAATTGAATACAATGCACCTACGTTTTTCAACTGAAAATAAGGCATGCTAGACATAACAAAGGTTGTAATAATTTTTACCATGCCTTAATCGACTTTATTTTGTAGTACTTTTTACACACTTATTTGTCATTTCTACCATGCTCATAGCAATGAACTGTAGTAGAAATTACTATGAAATTGCAATTGTTTTTCCACTGACAAACCGACATGACACTTAATTCTGACTTATGCCCGAAAATCGTAAATGGCCGATTTAAATGTGGAGTGATCCGAACTGTCGAAACCATAGGATTTTTTTATCTAGATAGAAATAATTTGTCCAGAATAGATCAGACACGAACCAATTCAAAACTTTTGCAAGCGAGTTCATGGCTTAGCTAAATATTTCCCGCAAACACGGAGCCATTTGTCAGTAGTGTGCTTTGGTCAGAAATTTTATTGTTTTTGCTATGGTCATTCATGTCAGTTTGTCGGTAGTTTTACTACGTTTTTACACCCAGTTCTACCATGGCATAGTAGATTTGAATACTTAAATTCTGAAATATAGTAATTCAACACTTTCGCCCCTGTTTATTCTTTTTTGAAACGTTTACAAAATCATCGACATCGATAAACAACATTACCGATAAGATTGCTCTGCTGGAACGAAAAACGAACGTCCAGCAAGAGGAACGATGATTTGCTTGGTGGAGTCAACTCCACAGTACCACACACTAGAGACCACCTAATCCAATCATTTTACATCGTGAGCAGGGTCCGCCGCCGAAAATAATATGATACTGATAAACAGAGCTTGTCTCCATGCAAAAAGTTTCACTAATATCGGATTAACAGATTGAATCCTGCGAAAATGTTTAGTTTATCGTAGGACAGATTCATGACGGAAAATTCTGAAATAAATTTATTAACAACACCATCATTTCATCTCGCGAGTGAAATTATACCTATTCGTACCACAAATGCAGCGATTTAGAATTCCTTTTTATTGCCAAGGATTCCATCTCAGCAGTTGATATTACTAGTGCTATTATTCGGTGATCACGCGAATAAATACTAATATGGTTACTATCCCATTTCCGGCCTATTAAGCACAACCCATACTTAGTATTTTTTATCTAGCGTAGTTTAGCACCAAACGGAATGTTATTATTACTGATGGCTTTCACATTTATTTACCTTTCCGTACGTACCGTAAGATTTGATAATGAGAAACAAATTGTTGAGATATTCCCTAATAAAAAATAACCA